GAGCCTTTTGTTCGGGTAATGTGTCAGCAACCTCCTGTTGTTTGTCGGGGAAACCATAAAAACTACCAATTAGAGCGACTGCCCACTAGAATACTCTTCCAGGCAATGGGTAAATTACCTTGTAAAGAAAACACATCTTTCGGGGCTCGAAGCAGCTTTCGAAGCTTTACCTTCCGATCAATAATGCTCCAGAGGCAGAAGTGTTCCCGCTGGTATTGCAGCCGGTCAGACAAAAGAGCTGACTGTGTCACTGTTAGAATTTAGAAAAATGAATAATTGAACATGCCAGCTGTTTTGTTAAAGGGTACTTCGACTAATTCAGCTTCTCCTTTCTTCCGCTCTCTTGTCCCCTTGATTAAGTACGTCCTTACGAAGGTACCTTACGCGCAATCCCATTTCCCGTTTTTGCTTCGCAAACTTCCTTCCCTTCCACCGCATACGCTGAATCATTTCGAGCAAAAATATTCGGCTTTCCATGGCAAAGCTCTACAATCCCCACTATCATTCTTACATCACTCTCGTCCCGCCTCTTCAGTGTCTTCTGCCTCTTCCGCCTCCTTCAGTCTCTACCACCTCCTCAGTGTCTTCTCTCTCATTCTCCGCGTTCTGCGCTGCAGAGTATTAGATACGGCATACATTTGGAACAGATTCGAGCAAGGTTAAACTTAAGGCCCATTCACAATGCAAACATAAACATAAACATGGCGTTAACATAAAAATTAGGACTACCTTCATAAGCGGACTCATTCATAATGCGTTCGCATAAGCATAAAACGTAAGACGTAAACCTGAAAGCTTCAAGCTTCTGTGCTTATGCGTAAGTTAGACATAAGAAATGAACCAATCACAGAACGGTAACTCAAAATCGAGAATCGAAATCGGAGCGAAGTCGATAGAACAACTAATACTATATGGGCCATTGACACAGTCAATACCTCGAAATCGATTCTCACATCCAACCAATAGTAAAAAAAAATGCCTCACAGCCAATAGAAACCCTTATTTTGTTTACGTTTATATAAGACATTGTGAATACTTCAGTCCATCACTTATGTTAATGTTTGTCTATGCGCTGTGCTTATCTTTGCATTGTGAATGGGCCTTTGCAACTCTGCTATATGAAGTGAAGCGTTAGGACATACTATGTGCTTAAGGTTCAAATGTCTAATGTCGGATACGTGACTGAAAGTGCATAAAATGAAGACATTAGAAGTTCTCTAAATGTGATAGCGGCGGGAGCGAGCCCGTCCGACGTGAGTCCACTGCGCCGCTTGTCGCGTGGGCGTCCTTAGGGAGCACTGAATTACTCGGCGTTTGAGAGTCGGCGAAAAGCGGCCGCCCGCCCAAATGCAAAGGAAAACAGCGCCGACGTTTTTATGCGCGCTCACTTGTTTTGCACTCCATAAAGTTCGCGTCCACTCGGCCCGCGGCTCCGTTTTTCATCCGATCGCCAAGGCGACTGGCCGCCGCCGCTGCCGCCGCCGCTCCAGCCCCTCAGGCCGATTCGGTTTTTTCAGAAGCGGGATGAGAAAGACGAAGAAGGAATTGCTCTCAGCGTTCGCTGACGGTTGGCTCTTTCCTTGAAATGAATTTTGTTGAATTGCGGCGTGTAATACCGACTTTTGGGATGGAACTAACTGTATTAATTGGTGTGCAGATTTTGTTTCTTTTAAGTTATGTATTTTTTGGCGTCACACTCCGTATTCAGAGAGCATAAACGGGATTTTACTGTATACCTAGTTAATAGAACCGTCACATTTGAGTTCAATTACAAAATCTTAAGAAATTACACTCTCTATTCTGAAGCACCCACGATCGAGAAGTCATTTTTGAGTCAGACTACGTAAGAAGGCGGTATTTAAACAAGTGTCTTTGATTTAAGAGACATTCTAATAAAAGTGTTTCATTGCATTATGCCGGAGAATTTAATAAACTATAAAATGGATTGGAACTGTACTTACTAGTTGATATTATATTCACATCTTAAAGGACGACTGACACTTCAGTTGAAACTGTAAGTTGTAGCATGGAACGGTACTTATCATATGTTTAGTGAAACTATTGAATATTCGAGCAAAAACCTCAAAATTATTTGATTAAAGAATAAAGCATATCTGGAAGCATGGATAAGTTTACCAAATACTGTATATTGTATCATATTTATAGCAAATTTCAAATAAAATAAATGATTCTATTATTATTTATTACTCCAAATAACACTAATTGTTCAGAGAAAGAAAAGTGTTAATATTCCTGTGATCTTGAGTTTGTCTCTTAAATCATGTGATGATTTAGTTTGAATTTTGACATACAATGTTTAATCTCTTCAGTATTAATGTTGTTCAGCTTTTTTGAATCGCCATGACATTCTTTATATTGCCTAACAAAAAGTGGTGGGAAATACAGTTTTAAATATACTGTTTCTTTTAAAAATACCCCGTGTTATACTAATCATTACGTTGTGAAGTGTCAAAAAAGTAATTGCTTGACAAGGTTGCACGTCACTCTGCGCCTCGGCATTCCATTAACACAAAAGAGTTCATGAAATGTCGAGTCAAACGAACTTTAAAAGAAGTGGTCATAAAGTTTTAAAAGGTTAAAACAAAGAAACAACTCTAATGTTGAAT